ACGACTCAAAAAAGTGTAGATGGTAGTCTATTACAGAAACAAAGATGACTTCGTGCATTAGAAATGCAGAGTCTGTGATGTCTCCACAGTCCCTCTCTTCTCTCTCCAACTTCTGGTTGTTCCATGCTAATTGCTTGCTATTTAAATCTTATTTTCAAGAAATCTTTTACAACACAGTTGAGACTGATGAGTCTGCCAGAAGCGACACTCTAAAATTTTCAAAATTCAGGTTCCTAAGGTATTCTCTCCCTCCCTCTCCCCCCCCCTCTCTCTCTCTCTCTCTCTCTCTCCAGAAGCGACATTCTAAAATTTTCAAAATCTAGGTTCCTAAAGTACTCTCTCTCTCTCTCTCTCTCGCTCAGCATCTAACCACAGACAGCTTACCTTTCGCCGGAAACGACAAGAAAGAGGTAAGGGAGAATCCGATGCGTCTCTAATAAGATTCAAAAGGAGGCCTCGGAAACATCATATATGATCGGGAGCAGGCTGATCCTCTGTCGCGGCGAAACTTTTACGGGCTTTTCGCACATGAGACTGCACCAGCCTGAGTCAGATTGGTCGATATCGTCGACAAGATACAGGACCCCGCAGGATCGCCATAGGAACGCAGTTTCTCGACAGAGGAACAGAACCACATCAACCATATCACTGTCGTTCAGTGCTCTGGTTCATCGTCCTTTGAAACTCCGGTGTGCATCGATACCCGCTGAACCGCATGGAATATAAAGTCAGTTCATTAACGTCGATGACGGTCCTCATCTGCCAATAGCTACAAACAGGTCTTTTGTCCTCTTTCTAGGTTTTTACTTTCTCGTTCGCCCGAGCAGTCTTTCTTCCCCCCCTGCTCCTCTCTCTCCCCGATTCCTTCCTCTATTCTCTCTCTTATTTCTCTTCGTCTACTCTCTCTCTTCACCCCGCCTCCTCTTCCTCTCCATTTCCCTCTCTCTCCCTCTTCTTCCTCTATTCTCTCTCTCTCTCTCTCCCCTTCTCATGGGTGAGGCGATGGCACACGATTGAGCACAGGTTTGGCGACACCAGTTTCGTGTGACGGTCAAACCTCTTCGTCTGCCAATCTGAGCCCGAGTCAGCCAAACTGTTGGACATTTATTGTTCAACTACTCTCCCACAGTTCCGGGCACTTTTGAGCTCCTAAATTTTAGTAATGTCAACGGGCCAGTCTAGTCTTGAAGCCCCCCACATGGTTCCACAACACTCTCATGTCAGAGAAATACACGGCCTGCGCTCGGCCCGCTCCCCAAGTTGCCAAGCTCCGAAGGATACCCACACCCTTCCTCCTCTTGACAGAAATCGCCAGGACTCATTATATGTTACTTTCTCTAGTCCCCGACCTGGCTCAGAAACAGTCAGGGATAGTCTTCTGGCTGATATAGATACTCTCGTGACACCCCTTATCTTAACGGTTTATTGATTTCAAATCATATCTTTGACTATTTCACAAGCTATAATATTTCTTCGTTCAGGATCTCATCTCTCTCAAGGTAGAGCCCAGTCAAGTGCCAAAAAAAATCCCGGAAAATGGTTCTCGTACCTGCCTGGACAGCACGTCTTCAACCCCCTTCACCAATGAGAAAGATACAGAGAGATAAAATCGATACATAGATGGACTGATGCATACGGACACAGAGGGAGAGAGAGGCTGCCGTTGCAGTGATGGGGTCCGAACTGGACCAAGATCAGTCAGTAAAGGACTTTTTGCCTCCCGGGCCTTGCTCCGGAAAAGGCTTGGCTGGCCCAGGCCGGCAAGCTCGGGCCCTTCACGTGAGTGGGGGCATTATTAGTGCACCAGAAGCTCGCCGGCGTCCGGTGTTATCACATCCGCACGCCAGCTCTCCTGCTCACGCGTAGAGATGCACAGCGGCTCCTTCACCCTCCCCCCTGCTCTCGTCTAGCTGTTCGGCGGTGGTTTCCAGACGCTTCCGGAGAGGCAAGCGAGAGAGAGAGAGAGAGAGAGAGAGAGAGAGCTCGTTTTTCTCTTGAATGGAGCCGTTAATGGTTGGGGCCCGGGGACCGCATTTACTGGCTCAGCTGGTATGGAGCTTCAATGCGCCGAGATCGCTTTCCCCTCCTACAATAAATCTTCTTTTTGACCGGCTCTGGTCTTTCCGCGCTTGAGCCTCAAAATCAGGCCTTGTCTCTGTCTCCGTCACGTTTGGAATTCGATGGAGATCAAACTGAAAGACCTCTCTCTCGCCCTCCCCCCCTCCCCCCCCTTTCTCTTCTTTCCTCCCGCCGCTCCCTTCCCCTCAATCTCTCTCTTGGGATGTTGCCCTCTGGCCTAGGCCAGGACTTATCTTTGAAGAGTCAACACGTATCGAACACTTGGTTTACGACCAAATAAATTACGTGTAAACCTGGATTGAAAATAAATTATTCATTTAAGTGAGAAGAATGTATTCAATAAATGCATCTCCTTCTGAAATGCAACACGTAGGCTTTAACACCCTAAAATTCAAAAAAGTTTCTGCAAATTTTGTGCCTCACTTGAGAGAGAGATATATATACGGACAGACAGGCTTGGGCTCGTCCCCTACTTTTAGTTCTAGAGAAAGAAAGTTTTAATATTTAAGAGCCAAGTTATAGTTATTTTCAAATCATTTATAAATAAACATATTTTCCCAGTTCTTCTAGAAATCAATTTGGTTGTGATTAAATCAAGGAAGAAGATCTTCTCATTATGGGCTCAATACAGCTCAACATTAACTATGACAATACTGGTAGGTTACGATAAGGATCATAATAAGGAAGTCAATAATTCTATAAAAACACATTAAAATAATACTAAATATAGATAGCACAAAATACCAACCTCTTGCTGAAATCCGTCTCATGTTAATAAAAAAAATTGTGGGATTCGATTTTCAAACTAAAATATCAAAAAAGTTGTTGATCATGAATTATTTTGTAATGATATAATGTTTCACCTATGAGTAAAATCATGGTTGAATTACTTAAAATCTAAAGAGAGATGTTGATCCAACGTTGCTGATCATCCCAATCCACAACATCACTATCTTCATTTATTGGCCCTAAAATTGACCATTGGATAGGGTACCAAGTCAAATCAAACTACACAAAAGATTAAAAAAACATCATTTATAAATGGGTGTTTCCGTGGTTATGCGAGGGAAATTAGTCAATATTTTCCATATTTTATCAAAAAGTATTTCATTTAAAGTCTTTAAACGAATTTTTTTCTAAATCAACCACTTTTTTTAGTCAACTCTAAGTTTCAAGCAACCTAAATTGCAAGCTAGGAGCTTAATATTTTTTATCATAGATTTGTTCTTATCATTATCAAGAGACTATCTCTCTCTCAATTCTCCTTACAATGAAAGCATAAGGAGAATATGATGATATCTATCTGGAGCATGGATCTATGAACATCCTTTTCAGTCTTTATTCTTGGGGTTAGACTAAATGAAGGTCAATGAAAATATGGAAATCCTAGAATCTTCAAATTCCTAGCCTTCAATCACAATGAATTCAAGGGCTAGGAGTTGGAGATTTTCAATCCATTCGAAACTTCAAGTACATCACACAAGATAGGGTGAAGTGAAGCTGTCATGCCAAGACAACTGGCAGCCATGGATTTGTGGTTTGGACTTGCCTCTCTAGATGGCTAATTAATATAATTTGAAGGGGCGGCGGCTAGCAATGTTGACTTGACATCACTGGTACATTGACATATTGACTAACGACATTGCTCTCATCCTTAGGATGATAAGCTTGGCAGTTTGAGGATGTTGGCCCAAATTCAAAGAAAAAGGCTAGGATTCTTACGATATTGATTACTTGTTACTAAATTTATGGAAAATATGATATGTTGACTTGGTCGGTTTAAATAAATTAATTACAAATATCTGAAAAAATAAATAGATCAAATAAATCAGGACGGTTCAGTTCATTTCGTTTCAAATATTTTTAATCATTAAATTCGATCAAGATTTTAAATAGAGCAAAAAGTTTTGGTGACTGAAAGTAAAATTTGAAACTTAACCAACTTATTTTAGAAGTGAGCCACTTGCCACACCTTTTTCTAATTATAAATGGAATATTTCACTGAAATATATGTTGCGGAATCCTGTGATAAATATATATATTATTTCTCAGAATTTTATTCTGCGAAGTGTGAAGTCAGAGCCCATCTACGGACCATCTCATGACGGTGGGCCAGGGTGGACTATCCAAAAGAAGTCTTTCAGTTGCTACGTGGTTTATGGGCGGGCGGCCCGACTGACGTTGACTGATGCAGTCCACATTAAAACCGACTGGCAGCCCATTAAGGCCATAAGGTATGTTTGATCTGACGGCGGAGGATCCATCTCCATGATTTTTTTTCCTCGGAAAATAAGCCTCTTTTATTGAAAGCAAAGAGGAAATCAATGGCTCCGAAAGCCTTTTGTTTACAGCTTCCCGTGCATGGGTCCGCCAGTAAATACCACATCAAGATAAATTTATTTATTAAAAGTATGACCAAATTCCAAGCCATGGAAACTTTCCTAGTATTAATTATTAAGTATCAAATAGATGCATATATTACTAGATAAATTATAATATCACTAAAAATATAGTAATTTATGGGGACGTTAATACGAGGAACTATATTGATATTAATTACTAAGATAATCTGTCTATAAAGATATGCGTGTGTATTATTCAGATGTTTGTGAATATGTTAAAGTAGAGATATACTAAAGTTTACAGTTGTAAACCGGATAGGTAGAAGCTCGAGAACACCAATTAACTCGAGCTTGAGGCAATCTGCGGAACCGGTCTCGCGTCCATGTTACCTGCCAAAGAGAAGACCACCAGAGCTGGCGATGCATGCAGGAGGAGGGCGGCCTAACTAGGGGTCCTGCATGGACGTCACTAGCGGCTCTTTGAATACAGTCACCACCCATCTGGCTCATTCAATGGGAATTCATGGTGCTTCCAACCACAACCCACTCATTTCGTTCGGCGACGACATTTACTCTACCTCAACTACCACCCCCCTCCCACACGCCATTATAAGCTGACCCTCCATCTTCTTCCTCTCCCCACTGTCCCCCTTCTCTCTCTCTCTCTCTCTCTCTCTCTCTCTCTCTGCCCCCCCCCCTCTCCCCCCTGTATACGAGCCGTTTGATAGTGCAACAAGGAGAAGAGGGGTGCAGGAGGATGGCGGGGGAGCAGGAGATGCTGACGACGGAGATCGTGAACAGGGGAGTGGAGGCGGGGTCGCCGACGTTCTCGGTGAGGGTAAGGAGGAGGCTGCCGGACTTTCTGCAGTCGGTGAACCTTAAGTATGTGAAGCTGGGATACCACTACTTGATAAACCACGCGGTATACCTGGCGACGTTCCCGGTGCTGGTACTGGTCTTCAGCGCGGAGGTGGGAAGCCTTGGGAGGAAGGAGATATGGCGGAAGGTGTGGGGGGAGGCCAGCTATGACCTCGCTACCGTGCTTACCTTCTTCGGCGTCCTCGTCTTCACCGTTTCTGTCTACTTTCTCTCCCGCCCAAAGCCCATCTACCTCATGGACTTTGCCTGCTACCGTCCCCCCGACGACCTAAAGGTACCTCCGTCACTTACCACTCTCATTCCCATCCTCCATATACATCATATGCTCTCTCTCTCTCTCTCTCTCTCTCTCTCTCTCTCTCTCTCTCTCTCTCTCTCCCTCCCTCCCTCCCTCTCTCTCTCTCTCTCTCTCTCCCTCCCTCCCTCCCTCCTTCCCTCTCTCTCTCTCTCTCCCTCCCTGTCTCTCTCTCTATATCTCGCTCTCTCGCTGTCTCTATTCCTCAAACTCATCACGTAGCTCTTCTCCAGATTCATATTATTTTAGGAAGGATAATAGGGGTACAAATTTGTATGTATACATCTGCATATATTCCTAGGTAGATAGGTGGAGCGATAGAAAAATATATATAACTCCTTTTCCTAGGAATGAAGAAAAAAAAATCCAATTTTCTTTCTTTTGTCCTATTGGAAAATTGATTCATGTAGCAATAAAAATAATCACAGCGAGAGAGAGAGAGAGAGAGAGAGAGAGAGAGAGAGAGAGAGAGAGAGAGAGATTCGGTGCACATTTAAGAGCAGCGTTTATGGTGCATGTGTACGCATTTACCCTTGTAGGCCCGGAGAAATGACGGCCATTGGGAGGAATTGAATAGGATTTATGGTCATCCCTCTTGCTTCTCTCTGGGGGACACATTCTCCATAAACTTAAGTCTATTAATCAGGATCTTACGAAGTTCTAAGATCTCTCAGCTTCTCTCTGGGGGACACATTCTCCATAAACTTAAGTCTATTAATCAGGATCTTACGAAGTTCTAAGATCTCTCATCTTCGCTTGCATATGTTTATCCTAATGGCGGCGGCGCTCAGGTATCCAAGGAGGAGTTCATCGAGCTGGCAAGGAAGTCGGGCAAATTCGACGAGGACAGCCTTGCCTTCCAGAGCAGGATCCTCAAGTCCTCAGGCATCGGCGACGAGACCTACATCCCCAAGGCGGTGATGGCGCCGGAGAACTGCGCCACCATGAAAGAGGGCCGAGCGGAGGCGGCGCAAGTCGTCTTCGGCGCCCTGGACGAGCTCTTTGAGAAGTGCCGCATCCGCCCCAAGGACGTGGGCATCCTGGTGGTCAACTGCAGCCTGTTCAACCCCACACCGTCGCTGTCCGCCATGGTGGTCAACCACTACAAGATGAGGGGGAACATCCTCAGCTACAACCTCGGCGGGATGGGTTGCAGCGCCGGTGTCATCGCCCTCGACCTGGCCAGGGACATGCTCCAGGCCAACCCCAACAGCTACGCCGTGGTGGTTAGCACGGAGATGGTGACCTTCAACTGGTACACTGGCCGGGACCGCTCCATGCTCATCCCCAACTGCTTTTTCCGCATGGGCGGCTCAGCCGTGCTCCTCTCCAATCGCCGCCGTGACTTCGGCTGGGCCAAGTACCGCCTCGAGCACATCGTCCGCACCCACAAGGGCAGCGACGACCGCAGCTTCCGGTGCAGTCCATCTCCATCCTCTCCTCTTCTCACAAGTCTAGCAAATTAGGGTTTTGCTGGGTCGAGGATTCTGAAACCCTGTCTCCGTTTTGGTGCAGATCCGTGCACCAGGAAGAGGATGAGCAGAGGATCAAGGGGCTGTCCGTCAGCCGCGACGTGATGGAGGTGGGGGGGAGGGCCCTCGAGGCCAACATCACCACCCTCGGCCCCCTCGTCCTCCCCTTCTCGGAGCAGCTCCTCTTCTTCGGCGCGCTGGTGTGGCGTTACCTCTTCGGCGGCACCGCCGCCAAGACCAGGCCCTACATCCCCGACTACAAGCTGGCCTTCGATCACTTCTGCATCCACCCGGCGGGCAAGGTGGTGCTGAACGAGCTGCAGAGGAACCTTGAGCTTAGCGGCGACAACATGGAGGCCTCTCGAATGACCCTCCACCGCTTCGGCAACACTTCCAGCAGCAGCATCTGGTACGAGCTCGCCTACCTCGAGGCCAAGGGAAAGATCCGCCGTGGAGACCGCGTCTGGCAGCTGGCCTTCGGCTCCGGTTTCAAGTGCAACAGCTCCGTCTGGAGGGCCATGCGCCGGGTCCGACGCCCGGCAAGGAACCCCTGGCTGGACACCATCGACCAGTACCCCGTGCCTCTGTGACCAGTACCCGCCGCCCTGAACTGATGGCTGCTTGTAGCAGAAGCTTTTGCTTGTTTCTCTGACTATGTTCCGGTCGGATCTCCCACCCCCCCCGCCTTTTCGAAGAAATGTATCATCTAATAGCTTGGATAATTCAGGCAACACTAGTTGATCACATTCTTGAACGACCTTATTTAATTGCATTTATTGATGTAATACTGCTCCTCAAATGTCACTTCTTCGTCTCAATCTTATCGGTGAATAGATATATTCACATGATTCTACTGAGCATACACTTAACGATAATGCATAAGAAGCTTTATCATTGGCGGAATGCTATCATACATCCATATAGCACCTAATAAAATTTTAATTATAAATAATATAGAGGTAGACTTAGCCTTGTTACACCGAATGCATGGGAAGTCAAACCACTGTAACGACAGTGAATATATTTATGATTGGATGAATTGCAGAGCTTAATTATTTCTTTACAACTGTATTAAAAAATCTAAAATGTTTTATTGCAGATAAAGATTGAGGATAATTAATATTACTATAATTTTTTAGTAGTTCAAGTTTCATCACTTTCACATTTAGAAATACATCATGGTGAACATAGTGGGGTCACTTCCAATGCTTTCGAAGTTACAATCATATTTTCTTTGGTTATGTGCCAACAAGGTAGCTTACTTATTGGAAAGGGGAAAAGCCTTGCATGTACTAGTTTATTCGATTCCAAAGTATTCATTTTAAAGATAGACAAAGGAGAATCATGGTAGATGAAGATATCTATCGTTTGGCATACCAATGGCGAAACATCCGAGAAATGAATAAGGCAAGCATTAAAGTTAATAGAAAGCTCTTTACATTTGAGTGGCTAAGTCAGAAGCGAGCCTTTGATATTGATCACATCTAAAATTAGTAGGTTTCAAAGCTTATGAAAACACCACAGATGCTACTTTTCAATTTGAGATTTCCAAAGGAGGAACGTCTTTTCTAGACTAAGTGGATCATTGTTACTTTACATGGACTTCGATCAAATGTAGTATAATTCCTATTCGAGAAGCTAATCAGCCATAAAGTGAAGAGGGAAGACTGGAATTGAGAAGTAGAGTAACACTCCCAGGGATACCATTAAATGGCACAAATTTTAGGTTCATGAGAGGTAATGTTATTGGAATAATAGCCATAACTATAAGATTAGGCAGTTTCCCTCAAGGACATCTCAATGTATAGAGAAACCATGTGAAAGTATACTCCTGATTTGAAGCAATCCATTTGGGAGAATTGCTAAGAGGGTGTTGAAACTATCTGAGGGTTAATAATGATCTAGAAATCCCTCAATATTAGGTCAACCCACAATCATACTCATAGAAAACTAGCCTCCAATAGGAAATAATATGACTAACCAATCTCATATGGTTTAAATGAAGGTTTTTAAAATGTAATAAATTAAAAACTTTGGGAGTAAGAATTTCAAGGGGACTCAACATAGAATGAAGTACGTGAACAAAATTTTTAAAAAAAGTTTTACATGTAAAAAAGTTACTCTTATCTAGACTTTTGTAGGCCTCTAAATAGCAAGGTTTTGTTTCTTAGCTTCTTGCAGAAAATCCTCAATTATTTTCTTTGGAGAAAACTTGAAAGTTACCATCGTTCATCAAGCATAGTGAAAGAAGAAGAAGATGACGCAATCTCTTCTCATGTGATAAAACTTTGACATAAAATATTTGAATTAATGGTAATAGAGAGGATTAGCAAAATCATTATTAAGAGTTGATGTGATCATCAATTCATGACGACTATAAGTATGGAATTCTTGACATTTTTTTGATGAATATACAAGCTTAGAATTAAATATAATTTGTGATAAATTAAAATATGTAAAAATGAAGCTCTTAGTGGAGGAGTTCATCAAATCAAAGCCATAACACTCTCAATGCAGGGCAAAGTTCATGACTTTGATGGTAAAATATTTTACGCTGTATAGGTAAAACTATAGGTAAAGCTATTGATTGACAACATCATACAATGCCCCATCTAGTTCATCTTTTAAAAATCCATTTTTTCTCTCTCTCATAATTACCCAGATAAATTCACGGCTACCCACCACCAATTTCGGCCCCTTTCAATCAAAAAATGGTTCATTAAGTTGTGACGCTCGGTGCAACACTTGGGCCCAGCCCACTAACGGCCCCAATGGGCTTGATTTACTGCGCGCCTTCCAGAATCCTCTACACCGACCAGAATTCTAGAAGCGTCCTTTCCAAGATGTCCGTCAGAAGTCTATCCCATTAACGTGCTCCAGCCTGACAGCACAGACAACTCTCGGTTTGTCTGGAGGGGCAACACGCAATCACTAGCAGGTCTTCGATTGCATTTTGATACCGAGTTGCAGTATACCGCTTACCAACAATAAAGAAGGAGATTCTCGGTTAGGGTTTGGTTATCGGCAAAGGTTTATCTGTTTCTTCGGGAGTTCACTACCTGGAAGCCTCGAGAGCCTCATCCATGGCTTCTGTTCAACTGACGGGCACATCATTCGTCGCCGGCAGGAGGGCCGCGGCGGCGCCACTGGCCCAGAGCGAGGGTCTGCGGCCCGCTGTCTTCCGTGTCTCCACTTTGTCAGGGTCCCGTGGGGTGGGCTTCGCCCGGAGATCCTTCCAGGGACTCGTCGTGAAGGCGGCTACGGTCGTCGCTCCCATGGTACTACTGAATTTATGTTGATAATTTAGGCATTTCCATTCGTGAGGATTTTGGCATCGGTGTTGGGAAAGTAGATTGACTGGGAGCTATGCTGTCTCTGTTCCTGTCGTGATGCCATTCTTCTGATTTGTGCGGGCTCCTTTTATTTTTCAGTCTTCTTTTTGGCAACTAGAGGATGTTTCCATGCATGCGCTGTGCGGATTCGCATGTCGCTTTGCCGTATCAAATGTGTGTCTCTCGTTGGTCTTGATGCATCGGAGTGTGTTTCAGACGCTTTACGATTGCGAATTAACTTATAACTGTAATTCATGCCGATCGAGCACGTGGTTGAAGCCAGTTAGTTTCATGATAATCCTCTTTCTTAGAGGAGATTCATTTCCAAGACTGCAACTTCTTAATGTTTTCTGTCAGTGAAGCGGAATGCGCTGGCGCTCATCACGCATTTGTTTCCAGATTCAACTCGTAATTGCTGTTTGGAAATCTACAAGCGCTACATAAATCTGACTTCACGAAGCCTTTTTTTATTGGTGTTTTTAAAATTTGTGATCTCCTTCCGAATTGCCTGGGTTGAATCGTGTTCATGGGATATTAGGCCTGGAGTTTTATGTATGCTTGTTTATTTATTACGTGATTTTGTCGTAGTCTGAGACACTCTTCTTCGTAACTTGCTGGTTTCTTGAAGTATACTACTGTGACGCCGTTGGGGGATAGGCTGCTCGTCAAGATCAAGAGCTCTGAAGAAAAGACGGTCGGCGGCATTCTGCTTCCATCGTCAGCTCAGTCTAAGCCCCAGAGTGGTGAAGTTGTTGCCGTCGGCGATGGCAGAAGTTTTGGGAAGAACAAAGTGGACATAAGCGTCGAGGTAAATCATTTTATTTTCATTTCCTTTTTTATTCCTCTGTAATCCGCTTTCTCTCTTTTCACCATCAACTCAGTTGGCTTAGAACCTGGGCATGCTCCCCCGGGACCTCGGGCTTAAGATTTCCAAGGAATTTCCAATGAACATGTTAGACTGAAAGCTGCACGATATGCTCGATCTCCCCATCTTTTAGAAAGTCTGTAAAGTTCTTGTCCTGCATGATCCCCCTGGGTCTGTTATTCCAGAGAATATGCATGTATATACTTATGAGAAAATCCGTGAAAATAAATTAAATCCTCCATTTGGAGGCAGATTGAACAATTGATGATCTACTGATTATCCATTTCATCTATTATGCTTCCCTCTTGGCTCCAAACAGCTGAGGGTGAATTTTTTTTCTGGCTTTCTATGGGAAAAATGTTTATACTCTAATTTTATTTATTTCCATGGGTGATGTACATGCCATGAGCAGATGATGATATGAATATGCGCTGAGATTTCATCTCTGAAGTCTTAACAAAATCGAGCTTTTTAAAACTGATGCTCATGCGCCATGTCTCATTTATGTGCATAGTATCTATCTATGATCGCTTTTCTGTTCGTAATAGGATTTCTTCGTGGGGATGTAAAGAAGTATGTGAGCATGAGAGTGTACGATTCTGCTGCTGTGTCCTCCTATCCTTGGTGTTCTTGAAAGTTTTTTCCTTTCCTTGGTAGATCGGAAGCCAGGTCGTCTACTCCAAGTATGCAGGGACCGAGATTGACTTCAGCGGTTCTAAGCATCTTATCCTGAAAGAGGATGATCTTGTGGGCATTCTCAACACAGACGATGTCAAGGACCTCAAGCCTCTCAATGACCGAGTTCTGATCAAGGTTCGGATTCTCTTCTTGCCTTTGTTTAGATTTCCAGCGCAAGAATGATTTCCTTCTGCATTTTTCTTCTCACTAAGATTCCCGCTACCCCATCCCCTTCTCTCTCTCTCTCTCTCTCTCTCTCTCTCTCTCTCTCTCTCTCTTACTCTGCGTATTCTGCGTTTTTCCTTCCCTTATCTCTCTCTTCTACGGGTTCACCTGGCGAGATGAACGCATTGGCTGCCAGGTATCAGAAGCTGAGGAGAAAACCGCTGGTGGGTTGCTCTTAACGGACGCAACCAAGGAGAAGCCCTCTACTGGGACGGTAAGCTCTCTCTCTCTCTCGCTCTAGCTATCTATCTATCTATCTAGGCTTTTTATGAAATGGGTTGTTCCCTCGTTGATGGCTATTTCCATGGGCGGTCAGGTGATCGCAGTTGGGCCGGGGCTTCTGGACGAGGAGGGGAAGAGGAAGCCGTTGACGGTCTCGAGCGGGGGGACCGTGCTCTACTCCAAGTACGCCGGAAGCGAGTTCAAGGGGCCCGACGGCACCGAGTACATCGTCCTCAGAGCATCTGACATCATGGCCGTCCTCTCGTAGCCAGCCGGTCAAATAAAGTCAACGACGGCAGGCGAGGAACCATGGGCAGCGTACGCCCGCCAGGTGCTCGAGCAATTGTCTGCCCTCATTTAGCGGCTCATCTTGTATTTGTTGCAGAAACTGCACCAAACGAGTGTTTTATTGTGTAGTTTCTCTCTCTATCCCTCTCTCTCTCTATAAAGTTTTTCTGGTAATGGTGGTCATCTCCCTCTCGTCAACGCTATCTCGGGTTGTCACGCCAGCCACGTCTTCCGAGCTAGGTCAACGTGGCCGTTTCTTTTGTGGGCTCTTTTTTATCCTAGGTCAACGGACGACTGCGATCCAGCGAGACCCCAGCCCGGCCCACTACCTCTCCAATTATCAATACTTTATCAATTTTTGTTTATATATATTTATACATGACGAGAGAGAAGTTTCAAACAGTAAATACCCAGACAGCGGGCGCCCGCATTTATTGAATTAGCACTCGCTGTCAAGAGAGCGGACCAGCTGCCGTGCAGCTGCGGGCAACGGTCCCGCCGGCGCCGCCGGGGCCGACGACCGCTGGAGGAGGCGGGGGGCCCCGCACCGGCCGCCGTCGCCTTCGTGGTCGCGGTGGGCGGGCCGCGGGCCCCACCCGGCCTTTCGCCGGCGTTGGGGCTTTCTCTTTCTCTCTCTCCTCTCTCCTGTCCGTCGTCGTCGTCGTCGACGGTGGACGGGTCACGGGGGGGGGGTGTGTGGAGAGAGAAAGAAGAGGGAGAGAGGGGGGGCCAAGCGATGGATTTCCACGCGCAGAGCGACGAACGAGGGCTCGCCACGTCACCGATTCTCCCCTCCCCTTCGTCTCCCTCTCCCTCCCTCTCCCTCTCCGTGGCCGGCACCACGCGTCCTCGTCCGGTCCCCGGAGCGGACAGTAGATCTGCCCGCGGGAAGGGCGGACGCCGTCAACTTCCCCACCGTCGGCTGCGTCGCCGGCCGGTTTATTATTTACCCGCAGCCCCACCCGCCGACGACAAGCTTATCCTCTCTCTACCTCTCTTTCTCTCCTACCTCTTTCTCCGATCTCGATATGGAGGAGGACGATGATGGGCGGAGCTCGCAACCGTCGACGGGGAGCTCGGACGACGTCAACGGGAGCGCGGCAGCGCCGTCGTGGCGGAGCGCGGTGGTGGAGGTAGCGACGGCGGCGGCGGCGGCGGGGACGGGGAGGAGGAGGAGGAGGAGCGGAGGAGGTGGACCGGGGGGGAGAGAGGACTGCTGGAGCGAGGGGGCGACGGCGGCGCTGATCGAGGCGTGGGGGGAGCGCTACCTCGAGCTCAGCCGGGGAAATCTCCGGCACAAGGACTGGCAGGAAGTCGCCGACGTCGTCAACGCCACCCGCCGCCACCACGACGGTGGCTACAGCGGCAAGGCCCCCAAGACCCACGCCCAGTGCAAGAACCGCGTCGACACCCTCAAGAAAAAGTACAAGCTCGAGAAGGCCCGCCTCTCCTCCTCCGCCGCCGGCACCGGCGGCGCCACCGCCGGCAAGTGGGTCTTCTTCGACCGCCTCCACCACCTCATCGGCGCCGCCACCTCCGCGCCGAAGGCCCAGATCCCGCCGCCGGTCCCCGTCGCCGCCGCCGCCCGATCCTTGCAGCACCATTTCCAGAAGAAAAAGCAGCTCCCCACCCTGGTGGGCGCCGCCGCCGCTGCCGCAGCGGCGGCTGCGCCGCCGTCGCCGGAGTCGTCGGAGAGCTTCCTGCCGGAGACGCCCAAGAACAAGAAGAGGGGATCCCCTCCTCCGCCCCCCCTGACGACGCTCGCCAAGAGGGCGGCGGTGGAGGAAGATCTGAGGGAGGAAGATCTCAAGGAGCTGACCGGGGCGATAATCAAGCTCGGGGAGGTCTACGAGAGGGTGGAGACTTCGAAGCTGCAGCAGGCGGTGGAGATGGAGAAGCGGCGGATGGAGTTCACCAAGGAGCTAGAGCTGCAGCGCATGCAGTTCTTCGTCAAGACCCAGATGGAGCTCACCCAACTCAAGCGCCGCCGCCGCTCCATCCCCACCGCCATGGACAACAACAGCCACAGTGACAACACCACCTGAACCCCATCCATTGTCATCCATCGTCAGCCGCCGAATTTAGGGTTCCTCTCTGCCCATAGATCTGCAATCTCCATTTTTCTAATTCGATCAAGGTATCATTCATCACGGCTGTCAGATTCCATCTCCACTTCATCTCTCTCTCTCTCTCGCTCTCTCTCTCTCACTCACTCTAGTAAAGATAAGCCCACCAACCAGGGCGGGATGAAGAATCCAACTTTGGAGCAAGATCGGTGGTACCCATGAACACTTATACATACATTAAAAAAAACGCTTACAAGAGCTGAACAAGCACCCTCGAGATAAACGCAAGGGGGTCTGGGCACCGGCGGCGGCGCCGCCGCTGCCAAGCGATTCACGCCATGTTATCTACCTACTGGGCTGGCTGGCAGGCAAGGAAACAAGAAACCAGCAGTCAACCCACCGGGTGAGGTCAATTGGACCAGACGTGGATCAGGCCTTGCTTGTTGCCGGTGTAGATCTCGTTCCTGTCTTCGTCGTAGAAGAGGGCCGTGACGTCCTCCAGCGCTTCCCGCACGCTGCTCCGGACGTACGACCGCCCCCCCGCCTGTCGGCTCCTCGGGCTGATCTGCAGCCCAGAATCATTCGAGCATATCTTCGCGATGCATTTCCCCGTCAGTATGTTGCTCATGTTGATCGATCCCACTTGCAAACCTGCCCAACACACATCAGAACACAAAGCACACCCTTTATATCATTTCCCCCCTAGAGAGAGAGAGAGAGAGAGAGAGAGAGAGAGAGAGGTAATGAGATATACCCTCTCCGTCGTCTTCGCATCCCTCTTCGGCCTTGCAGTAGGAGATTATCAAGTCCTGGTCGCTGGTGATGTAGATGTTGTTGGTGTTGCAGTCCGGGTGCCATAGCAGGTGGTCCTCGAAGGAGGTGACGAGCTCCCCCTTGAAGTTCCAGACGGCGACGGTTCTATTCCTGAAGGTCAGGAAGAGGTGGTTCTCGTAGAGGAAGATGAAGGCCGAAGGGGTCATGAACTCCGTCCGGCTGACCTCGGTCGACTTAGAGTTCCTCACCTGCACGGTTGGCAAATGGCGTGGGCATCACTAATATTTCACCAAGAGAGAATCATATTGAGAGATTGGAAATAGATTCACGTACATCCAGGATCTGCAGGTTCTCGTTTTCCTGCTTGACCAAGAGCTTCTCGTTGAACTGCTCGATGAAGTCAATCTTCTTGTTGCGGTGGAGCAAGTGGTTGAACGATTTCAACACGGTCCCATCCTCAATGGAGAGGATCTCCAGAGGAACATAACCAGGAGCTCGGTGGAATATCAACAGCATAATACCTGGACTGTGATCACCAAACCTCAGTTCAGCCACGCGCTCCCAACACAAACACCAAAATTACTCGAAAAAGACGAGCCAAGAAATCGGCAAGTCTGGGGCTTGAGCCGAACCTGATCTTTATCTCCTGCACATTCTTATCGGATATCGAGTACAGAAAGGAGTAGTTCTTCAGATCAAAGACCTTGTAGATCCTGTGTGGGTTCGAGTAAAAAGTCAAGATAATTTCAGAGTTCAGGTGAAGTCACAGATTGGAGCTCCGAAGAGGGGATGCGCTTACCCATCCTGAGCGGAGTACGTTAGCACTTTTCCGTTGACGTCATCAAACTCGACGAAACCGGGCCACTTCAGCGACTCGGTCTCGAAGAGAGGAAACCCAGCGTCCAGCTGATTTCTCCTGATGTACCTGCCATCGACGGCAAAACCACACAGAAGATGATGTCAACAGGGGTTCAACGAGGCAGATTGAAGATTGCCCACCATTCCCATTGGTTTACCGATTCAGTAATGCACATATGTCAACTAGTAAAAACGTTCTCCCATGGTTCATGGACGTGCAGAGTCAACTATTATGGTTTGGCCTTGGGATATTAACAAGAACATCGGGGGTGGCATTGAAAAGGCAGCATTTTACCATTCACGAGTAGAGATGTTTATCAGCCAAGGAAGCTGCTAATGAAGGGTATTATAAAGTGTCAACAGTGATGACTTCCTGATTAAGGAAAATTTTCAGCTCGCCAGGAAGCGCCTGGACTTTCTTACTATAAGCCAAAGCTGCATTTATTTATTTATTTATTTACAAAATAAATCGCATTACAGCTTGTTAAGAGATCGGCAGGGCCTATTCTAAATTTCCTGTAACTGAGTTCCTTGATTTTAAGACATTAGAAATACTCTCTTTCAGTGGATCTGAAATCTTAAGAAACACAGGCGCTATATAGCAGAGAAAAAAAAAACAAAGAAATGTAAACAGATGCAGAGGAAGGTAAAAACTCTACAAAAAATGGCCAATCTGTCATTCTGATGGCATAAAATCAAGCCACTCACTCTATTGGAGTAGTCCGGCACTTCAAGGAGCTAAAGTGATCCGATGCATAAACTGACACGGTGATCAATGATTCGTTGTTCTTGTTGTAGAAGAGACTCCTTATAACTTCATCTGGGCTTATGTTCAAGAAACATATACGTCTGTTTGTAGCTGTGAACACCAAACATGAAGAAAATAAGCACCAAACAAGGCAAAAAACCTCATCTCGAAGTCATGATGCCATCCAAAAAGCAAACTCTTACCCCGGCTAAAAGCAGCACACAACCCAGATTGCGCCAGAGCAAAAATTACATCCTTTGCTGAAACTATTTCGATAATCCTAGATCTCTTTTTAAGAAACTGAAGTCTTAAGAACCAATGAGCATTGGGATCATAAGTATCAAACTCTTCCTGCATAAGGCAAAATGAAAAAAAATTATGGTCAAATGATGAAGAATGTCAAAACAACCACTACGGTACCAGAAAATCACAAAGATAAAAGGTAGATAAGTTTACAGGGCAAGCATTCATAACAATGAACAAGAGATCAAAAGAATCATTAGTATTGCCACACACTCTTATCAAATGCCAGCTTGATAGCGGTCAAAACCACGAAATAATCATGATGACAAAGGTTAAACGTCAAAGTGTGACCACGAATAGCCTCAAAAAAAGGAGTCATGAAGGTTCGTGGTGGAACCATTTTTGGGATAATTGTTGAAGGTTATGACGTAAATGAAAATTAACAAGTAGAAAGAATCAGTCATGAGACGTCCAAATCATCTGACACATATAAACAGCCATTGTCCGTACGTTTCCTCCTACAATCATCAAATTGGATCACTATGTAACTATAGTGTGTTTATCAATACATAAAATCACATATATTATTTTGCTACAAATTAAAACCTTCCAACTGCACAAGTTGTAGAAGTGATCCTCATCCCACATCAACCAGCAACAAAAATTCAAATTCATCCCCATTTATCTTAGTAGATTATTAACGTTTGGCAGTAATTATCATCCCCGAAACGTTGATGGGTTATCAGTTCAAACCATACATACTTGGCACGTTTTAGCATGCCATGCTGTTTTTCAAAAATCACTTTGTGTTCAGTTTACTCATTCCCAACTCGTCAGGCCTCAGCAGTTGTTTGAAATGACATTGATAATCAAATCACTTGGAAAACATTCAGCATTTCATCCCAAAACTTAATTTGTATTTCGCTATTCCTACCGTCATTCTATTATTGGCATGGTTTTTCACTACCTCCTAAACAGACTCGGGCCATCACTTGTATATTTCCAAAGTATCCTCTTGCAGTTTTCCTATATTCTCAAATCAGTCAGTTTTCATACATCAAATTTCAACTGTCCTTCCACTTGTGGCTATCCTATAAAGTACTATCCTTCTGATATAGTCCAAAGAAATCACAGACACCTTGTCCATTCGCATTGGCAACCTTTCCGACCACATGTATGGTTTTCTGCATGCGGCGTTCTTACAGGATCACGATCTCATAAAATAGTGCATCTTTGATTAGAGAACATCTTCCAATTCATTTTTTGAACCACATTTCTCTGAAAAATCGTTTAGCTTATAACATTAATTAATTTGGCCAGCTAATTCAAACCAGGAGAGTTTTTCTTTCATTGTCTTCCAAATGTAAAGTGTTACCTGGTGCGGTACTGGGAAATCATTCAGAGAGAGTGAGATACCCCCGGTATAACCCTGACCATTTAATTTCTATGTTGTTTATAAATCGATCTTCTGAACGATATTCCGCCATCCCAGCGTTTGATGAGTAAGGTGCTGACTTGATCTCTAAGCTCCCATCAGAAATAACGTTCTACATATTTAAGCCATTTTTTCTTCCTCTAAACATTTCCCTGGTACGTTGTGAGATGCTGTTGAACAGACATTTTGTAGAACTAATTATACCATCAATTGGACATTTCGGGTGCAGATTGTATTGCAGCACACTAAATTTTTTTCCATAGACTCAAGAGGGAGGTTTGTGCAACGCAGAGCCTGCTACTTGAGCACAAAGACTATTGTCGGGTGCGCTGATATGAACGATGAAAAAAAAACAAAATAAATAAATGGCACCTGAAGCAGCAATGCCAGTGCCCCGATTCCCATAAAGAAACGCGTAGAGATGGCAAGAGTAGATAGGCAACAAGACCTGGAGTTGAATGTTGCGAAATTTCTCGGGGGCATTGGAAGAAGTCCCTCGAATGATCTTGGGGAAGCCGCCGATCTCGCGCCGCTGGAGCTTTCGCACAGAATTGTTGCAGCAGTCACGATCCCGACGCTTCCTGCTGGAGGAGCCGCCACAGGTGTTAAGTTCCCGTCCACGCTTCTTCGCCGTCACCCGCATCCGCACCCTCAGCGGTGACTTCTTATGGCTCTCCATCTCACCCCCTTCCGCACCAAAGCCAAACACTCTTCCGCCTCTTCCACACCAGCTCTTCCTCCAAACGATACCCAAGGAACCTCACAGGAGACACACAGAACGCCGCGAACCTAGCCTAGGGTTAGGGTTTCCAGGGATTAATGGTACCCACCCGAGGAAGAACAAGAAAGGCCTCCCTCTCACACCGCGTCTCCCTAACTCAATCCTTCCTCCTTCTATGCTGCTGTATTGGGGAAGCGATGCTCATCTCTCGCTGTGACAGAAGACGGCCGAGGTGGGAGAAGTGCGCCCCGGTGGTTAGCCCGTCACATGGCGCTGGCGGAACTTCGGACGGAGACCGCTAGGGCGGCGTCACAGGTTCTCCTTGCCGGTGGCGACGGCCAGAACAGGGAGGGGCAAGGAAACGGAGAGGAGGTGGGACTCAGGACGGAGTTCGTCCTCTAGGTTGAAAGGGAGGAGGGGAGTTCGCCCATCTTCTGACATGGAAGGGATTGTAGCCGAGCGCTGGGAGAGGCGGTCAAAGGTATCTTACGCTCACCGAATTGTATCAATCACTTTGAATCGATTAAGAATTGAATATTGCCCTTTTGTATATCTTCCCAGGCTCCCCTAGAATATCGCCCTTTGACGGGTGTACCCTCTCCCATTTTCAAAAGAAACTTACTCCGAATCAACACCAACTTATGATCATAATGTATTCTCCCCCTCTCTCTCTCTCTCTCTCTCTCTCTCTCTCTCTCCCCCCCCCTCTCCAATCATCCTAATCCTCATAATCAAATCAATACAATCCAATCCTTCACCATGAGAATCTTTCTAATTGATTATGTTCAGCCCATGCGCTCATTTGAAGGCCATTTTTCAAAAATTGAGTACATAGTTACCATGGTTTTCTAATTACTTATTGTGCCATGTCAATTCTTCATGTTCATAGATTTTTCTTTTAAATTTCCTCAGCTATGATTCATAATGTCAATACAATGTTGGATATGTGTTATTTAGTGGTTATTTTTTGTGTCATTAATCTAATTGAATAGAATTAATAGTTTTTTCATGCCACATAAAAAATCGTTTATATATTATCAAAGGAAAATACATAATATCTGGTGTGTTAATTAGGATATTCAACTTATGTTGAATGTAATTCTTAGGTCAACCATAATCCTCAAAGATTGTGCCCCTAGTAATAACTAGAGTTTAAAATCTAGTATCCCAATATTAATTTCTTTTCATACCATCAAAGTAGGAGATAAGTACAAATTTATATTTATGCTATTTTATAATACTCTCTATTTAATTATTCTTTATGGGGTAATAAATATGTAAATTTATGTCACTTTAAAATATTTTATTTATTTATGAAAATTTTGAATTTATATTTGTAAGTAACTAGATATTATTTATTCAAAATTTTCATTTTCCTATATTATTTAATTAATTAATTTTGGGCATCAACAAATTCACCCCTTTCTCAAACTATGATGATAGCTATTAGGCTAATGTTCAAGGGAATGGGAGAAAGTGAAGGAGAGTCACTCTCGATCCATTATATCTCATTCATGAAGAGTTACATATTAAGCTTGCAAAGGATTAGAGAGGGAGACAAAGTGAGGTGTAGGTTTCATTCACCTATTAGTCTTCTTTGTGCATATGACTTGTTTGTGGAATTGATTGCTAGAAACATGCTCATAAAAAGATAAGAGTTTGGATTAGCAAATGACCACATTAACCTACTTTAGTATGAGGAGAAAAGGGGAAGGAAGGGAGGGGAGGGGTTGGGTTGAGTTGATAATTTCCTTGTCTTACAAAGATTAGATAGAAAATAAGGGCAAGAAGAAGGGTAGCTTCAAGCAGCCTACTATTGTAATTGACCTATTTATGGAAGTTATTATTAGTAAGACACGACTATGAAACTACTTCATTATGAATAGATGTAGAATGAGGAGCAAGTAGGGCTAATCTAAGTTTGGATTAATAGCTCCATTGGGGGCTTGAATATTTATTGAGTGGTTAAAGATTCATCTCATTAGTATTGATTTTAGTGATGCAACATGAGAAATCAATGGAGGGATTGAATTGACATTATCATGATCACATCAAACTTTTTGTAGGAGCATTAAATGTATATTTTTGATGATAACAAATACTTATAAGATCAATTAGAAGAGTCTTAATATTGAATTATGGGTTAGTTCAATGTATTCAATATATTATATTATGCATGAGTGTTATTTTTATTTGAATAAAAATTTATAAATAATTCAAATCAATGATCCTCAATATGTAAATGTGAACTCATTGAACATATTCATCAAAGTATAATGTTGAATTTAATTAATTAATTGAATTGATCATGTGAAATTACATTTATACATTTTTGTGGAAATTATCAATGTTTACATAAACTATCACAATAAGGAAAATAAAGAATTGAACATTCAAACCAACAAGAATTTATGCAATTACAATATAGGTGTGAAAGCTTACTCAATTTATTATGTGCCTATGATGTCATACCATTACTTTCAAATTATTTTGATATCTAATTAAACAACTAAATGCAAACCACCCTCTATCACAAAGATTCTTTGAATATTAATGAATATAATTTAAAAATAAATTTAAATATCATAAATCATCAAATCTATAATTATAAATATTAATACATAATTCAATATGTCTATATAACAATCATATTTTGTTTGAGACAATTTGGATAAATTATTAAACCCCTATTTTATCTAGATATATATCATTGACTCTATGTTAACTATATCAAATCCCTTTTTAACTTGACTAAGTCAATATGTTTTTAATATAGTAGTATGTTTTAATAGAACCATGGATTGATTTCTCATTAGAATATTTAAAGTATTAAAGGGTGTATTAAATCAATTCGCTGGCCATTCAAATTGTCTTTTTTTGAGAAAATAAATGTTGAGAAATCATGAAAGTCTAATAAAAACTTGAATTTTATTTCTCTATATAGTATAACTAATCAACAACAAACAGCATCTCCATCCCCTATATGAACTCAAGTCCTATATTAAGTTTTGTTATAAAAAACATTGAGAGACATCAAAAGGTCTTTACTATTGGACAAACTACACAAGGGTGACAAGTTGAGGAATTATTTTCAAGCATTCAATGTTCTTCCTTTACTAGATTCTAGCAATGGTACTTTCACCCTCTCTCATTATCCATATGAGAAGAGGGAATGCAAGAATTAAAGCTACATCATTGTCCTCTTTATCAAATTTCTAAATGTTTCTAAAGTTAATATAATCTATTAAAACATATCTATGGTGGAATTTCTTCTTATTTTTGGTAAGATAAAGTTGTGATTAATAGTTTTAGTCACTTGAATGATCTAAACCCATTTATCAATTGTAAGCCTCCTAGAACAATACATCTATAAGAGAATTTTGAAGATAAATTCTTAGGGAGATAAAATCAATAATCAGTAGTTATGATGAGAATGTTCCATTTGAAAGAACCTAAAAATAGCAATTAGTTTTACAATGTGGACATAGACAAAGGGGTTGAACCATTTCAAAAATCTCTAGTTCCACACCAATAAATCTAAGAATATTATAGGACATGATTTGAAGAAGAAGATTTAAGATATAGAAGCAAAATTAGAATCCAATCAATTTAAGAGCTCTTTCTTAATATATCATCTAAAATATGACACTTAGTAATCATTTTTCTTAATTTAGTCACATAAAAATTTACAATAGTTTGGTCTATACAATTTAGCCTACTATCAAAAGATCACATCCCAAGGTTTCACTAATATTTGGTGATTTACCTATCATTAGATTTAAGAACTCACTAGAACAAAGCAATGAAGTAGGCTAAATGGAAAAAGGAAAGACACAAGGGAAGTTATTGCTTGGCATGAAGATTGGGGTAAGGAAAGAAGGGCACTCAAGTATTTTTCTCCAATTCATCTTCCAATTCAAAGCTCTATGTCAATTGAACTAAATTAACCCCTAAAATTATCTTCTTAATTCAAAGCTCTAGGTCAATCAAGAAAATTAGATTAGCTCACTACTATTTTTGTTCACATTGACATCTCTAGGTTAGCTCAATTAGAGTGAGTTATTGTTCTACACAAATGAATGATTACCTTTACTATTTGAAATACAAAATGTGAATGAGTGACCATTAGTTGACATTTTAAGAGGCAAAATCCTTTGTTTGAATAGTACAAAAATTCTTGTACAAGAGATACTTCGATGACTAGTTCAACAACTAGATTCCTCTTCTTTATATGATTCTTGAATGACTTAATAATGAAAGAAGATAAGTACTATGGTTTTCACTCACCTCTCTCTCTCTCTCTCACCCACTCACTCACTCACTTATTTTTAGTTTGAATCTAGGTGCCACTTTTATACTTTGTCTGATTCCTTTTGATAATCATTTTCAACAATTAAAAATTAGTCTATTTGTTGTCTCTCTAATGTCTACATTACTGCTTCATAAAATATTTTTTAGCCTTATAGATGTAAAAAAATCAAACTTTTTGAATTTCAATACATCGTTTGTTACATTACGTTTATGTTTCAAATATCTTTCTAATTGGCACATATTTCTATATCGTGACAGAAACATCCAAAAAACCAATTAACCACGAGGTGTATAAATGAGTTATTAAATCTGAGGCCTAAAATTTAAGCTACATAATTTTCTTTTAATCTTGAAAATTCATAAAAATCAAACTCTTTGAATTTTGATGCATCAAGTTTGCATTTCAAGAACTTTCCAATAAGCACACACATATATCGTGATACAAAGTTACATCTAAAAATATCTTTAATCATTTGATGTGAATATACATATAATTTTACTCATGGTCTCATTTTTATTTCTTTAAGGCCAATATCTATCTAAAAAAAATCAACAATAGAAGATATAGTTTCTACTATAGTAATATTATCATTCTACTTACGCTCCCAATGTTAGCAATCAATATAAAAACTTCTTCACCTATGAGA